TATATATATATATATATATATAATGCGGGACAAAGTCCACATGGTATGTCAATGTCCATTTTCCCACACTTGCATATATACATTGCATCATATTGTTCGAAAAATTAATACGAATTAAATACTAACTTCCCAAATAATTTACGCATAACTATGTTGGGTTCAACTTGTAACGATCATCCCCATGCATTTTCGATCTTTACAAATGTGCATATACATTGGATTTACTACATGTTTATGACGTTTGTTCTTTAATTTAAGATTATATATATATGTATGGCATAATTAGCATTTGCATTTATTTTTCTTAAGATTATATATAGAGAAAGAAGATGGGGATGAAAGTTCCGTGTTGTTTATGAATCTGTTTGTGTTGCAATCTCTAATCCTTTTGTTTGTACAGTTATAATCTTTGATATTTTTATCATAATAAAGCAACGTTCTCATATTGCAAATATGCGAATATTCGTTACATTATGATTCAAGTCGAATACTTTCTAAGATCTATTACATACACATACACACACACACACACACACATATATATATATATATATATATAATTAAATAATGAAATGCTAAAGCATTGAATTTGATCGATATAGGTAAGCGGAAGTATAAGATTTAGTTATATTTGAAGAAAATAAAAAAAAATATTCCAAAACATCGAGAAGACGGTTGAAGTTGAAACACAGACATCATCATGTCCGATTGGTCTGCAAAACTCCAAACGTCGAGTCAACCGCACGCGTGTGTATCTCAGAAAAGTTTGTCTCCTTTTTCAATTTTTTGGTATCTATCAGCATCTATATTATGATTCTGTTTTATTTTTATCCAATTAACTCGTATGATTATATAAATATTGTTAGGTTAAAATAGATATATATACACATACACAAAGGGAGACACATGTATTGAACGTTTTTATAATTTGAAGGTAATTAGAATCGTTTGAGTTTCGGAAATAATCTCGGTGAGTATAGAACCGAGAGTTGAAGAGAACCAGAGAGAATTAGAAGAATTATTCTCTTATCGTTCATTTCCATAAGACATTACATATATGTACAGATCTTAACATAGATAAAGAAGGAAATATATATATTCTATTTACAAAGAATGGAAACTATAGATTAAGAATTGGAAAAGCATATTTCTGAGAAAATATTGCAGCCGTTGTGATTTCCTTGACATAAGTTTTGTCAATAACTTGGGCCTGAAGTTATTGACTAAAGAATGGAAGGAGAGTCACGGCTGAATATTCGGGTCCGACGTGCATGTGTGCTCTTCATGTTCTTCGTCAACATTCCCCCTCAAGATTGGTCGGTGAATATCCACAAGACCAATCTTGGAGAGAATGCTTTCGTGATCCTTAACATTTGGAGCTTTGGTGAATATATCGGCTAATTGTTCTGCACTCTTAGTGTATGGGGTAGTGATAATACCTTGAGTGATCTTCTCCCGAACAAAGTGGCAATCGATCTCAATGTGTTTCTTCCTCTCGTGAAACATAAGATTTTCCGCAATTTGTATAGCCACCTGATTGTCACAATGTAGAGGAATTGCTCCGTCGAGGTCAATACCGAGGTCCTTGAGTAACGCCTTGATCCACACGAGCTCACTCGCCGCTGTCGCCATTGCTTGATACTCAGCCTCGGCACTTGATCGGACCACCACGTTTTGCTTCTTACTCTTCCACGTAGCCAAGTTTCCCCCGACGAATGTACGATAACCGGATGTTGACTTCCTATCTTGTTGATCTCCGACCCAATCCGCATCGCAATAGCCAATGACATCAACTTTGTTGTTCCGATGCATCCAAATTCTTTTGCCTGGAGATCCCTTGAGATACTTGAGAATCCGCTCCATCATCTTCCAATGACGAGCTGTGGGTGCATGCATAAATTGGCTAACCTGCCCCACAGCGAAAGATAAGTCAGGCCTAGTAATTGTTAAATAGATAAACTTACCGACAATTCTTCTATATTGTTCGGGGTCTTCGAGTGGTTCCCCCTCTGGTTGATACTTGTAATTAGCTTCAATGGGTGTCTTTGTCGGCTTTGCTCCGAGTTTACCTGCACTGTTCAAAAGATCAAGTGTATATTTTTGTTGAGATAGAAATAACCCATCATGTGATCGAGTTACTTCTATGCCAAGAAAATACTTTAGTGCACCTAAATTCTTAATGTCAAAATTATTTCGAAGTAAAGTTTTGGTATTAGTAATACCTTGACAATCATCACCGGTTAATATAATATCATCCACGTACACGAGTAGAACAATCATACCTTTCGAGGATTGCGATGTAAAGAGTGAGTGGTCACTTTCACTTCTTGTGAATCCATGAACCGTCAAAGCTTCGTGAAGTTTAGCATACCATTGTCGAGGCGATTGTTTGAGTCCGTATAAAGCCTTCTTAAACTTACACACTTTGTCTTGACCGATCTCATGGTGGAATCCCGGAGGTACATCCATGTATATTTATTCCTCTAAGTCTCCATGGAGGAATGCATTTTGAACGTCCATCTGCCAAAGATTCCAATTGAGATTTGTTGCGATAGAAAGTATGATTCTTAACGTGGGAAGTTTTGCGACGGGGGCAAATGTATCTGTGTAGTCTTCCCCGTACGTCTGTGTGTAGCTTTTGGCGACTAATCTAGCTTTGTGTCTCTCAATTTCGCCATCACTCCGATACATGATCTTGTATACCCACTTGCATCCTACCGATTTTTTGTTTTGTGGAAGAGATACAATCTCCCAGGTTCCATTACGTTGTAATGCCGAGATTTCCTCCTCCATTGCTTTTTGCCATTCTGATCTTTAGCATAGGCTTCGTCGAATGTTTGTGGTTCTTCGGCTTGATCTAACTTGCTTAAAAATACTTGATGGTTAATCGGTAAGTGTTGTGTTGAATATAAATTTTGAATGGGATGAGTTACCGTATAACCACGTTGACTTTCTCTTAGTTTGTATGTCGGTTTTCGAACGCGTAAACTACTACGTAATGGGACTGTTACTTGGTGAGGAAGTCTCAGTTGTCTCCTTGAACTTCTCTGATCAGAACGTGTTCTTTGAGTAGATGTCCTTGATTCTTGGTTGGTTTGTCTTTGGTTGTTCTCTCCTGCATGTATGAGATCAGGTATACAAGCATTATTATGAATTTCATTGAGGTTACCTGAGTACGAGTTTGCTGGAGGAGAAAACTCTTGACTTGGCATGTGAACTTGCTGAGTATCATTCTGATCAGAGACTTCCATCAGGTCAAAGGCTTGTTCTTCATGAGGCTTATAACCCTTTTGTTTTGTCGAGTAACTGAGAAACACACACTTGATGCTTTTGGGGTCCAACTTGTTTCGGTTGTTTTTTGGTACAAAGACATAGCAAACACAACCGAATATTTTCAAGAAATCTATAGAGGGTCGTGTTTGGTTGAGTACCTCGAAGGGCGAGTGATCGTGAAGACTTTTGGTGGGAAGGCGATTGATTAAATAACATGCTGTGACCACTGCATCGCACTAAAACCGTCGTGGAACATTTCGATGGAAAAGTAATGTTCTTGCTACTTCCATAAGGTGTCGATTCTTTCTTTCCGCCACTCCGTTTTGTTGAGGAGTATAAGCATACGAGG